AAATATTTACAACTTGTCCTTTTGCATTTATAATATAATACCAAAGGTTGCGACGAAGTTACATTACAGAAATATGTGGAATCCACAAAATAATTTTCAGAAGAAGATGTATGTTTGGATACACCACATAAAGCATGTATTTTTTCAACATGCGTGGAACATTCACTGGCCAGAGTTAAACATACTTCTGATTTTTTTCTAAGTGACTCTAATGTTTTATATATCTTGCGCATATAATAATTTCTAACATGCATACACCAACATATGATTTTTTTCAGCTTCTAGTTGTTTTTTAGTATTGTCTTTAATATTAAGTTTCTTTAAAATATTTACAGTAAACTTAGTCACAGAACCACGAATCGCTAAAGCCTTCTCAGGCCAGAACTTTGTATACTTTTGTTACGTCCTGGGTTTGAGAAAAGGACGCAAGGGTGGGGGTTTGTTTTGCTGTTACGGATCGAGAGTTAATATGTATATATATGTATATATATTGATAACTATATACGCGAGGGGTTAAGTATTTACCTTCGGTTGGGTTGTTCCATTGCGAGAAGAAAGCACGCGTGTGCGAAAAAGATTAGGTGGGTTGACGCCCTTTTTTTGACTAAGTATTATGTCGGAAGATAGATATTTATTATTATGCATGAATAATAGGAGAGAAATATAAAAAGAAAAAAAAAAATATATATATGTGCTGGGAGAGTTGGATGTCCCTGATGCGTTGATTTAGTTCGTGAGAAAGGGGAGGCACAGAGGGCATACGCCTTTAGTGAGCGCAATTTAAGAAAGATGGAAGATGGGAATACACTTGTTCGATACAATAATTTCAGCCAGAGAAAAGGACATACGCCTTTAGCAAGCGCGATTTAGGAAAGATGGAAGGTGGGAATACATTTGTTCGATACAATAATTTTAGCCAGAGAAAAGAACATACGCCTTTAGCAAGCGTGATTTAGGAAAGATGGAAGGTGGGAGTACACCTGTCCGAAACAATGATTATGGCTAGAGACAAGGGACATACGCCTTTAGCAAGCGCGATTTAGAAAAGATGGAAGGTGGGAGTACACCTCTATGGGAAGGCGTTTGAAAGAGAAAAAGATCTTAATATATGAACCTTTAATGCAGAGTTGCGCTTACAGCGATGCTCTTGTCCCAGTGTATCGTCGCCGAGGGCAGCGCGATACGAAAATGAGCGAAGTATCGTCAAAATCGGCGCTCTTATATACTAATCGCTTGTAGACAAAGGGGCGAGGGGAAATAGAAATTCTCGGAAAATTGGAAAGTGGCAGATCGGCCTTTGATCGATAGTTCGATTTCCGAATTGATATACCTTTTCGCGCTGTCCGAGAATTTCCATTGTTCGTTCACGCGCCCCGAACGTGAGCGCGC